ATCCCCCCACCAAAACCAAAATTTTATTGCAAATTCGGGGTCCTCTCGCCGAGCGCAGAACAACCCCGGTTTCAAAAAAAAATTCTGGGCAGTTTTTGTCCTGCCCGGTTTACCTGGGCGCGTGTACAAGCAGAGAGCACAAATGCACTGAGATCCATCCAAATAAGAGCAATATAATGAAGTAATGAGCCAATGTTCAAGCCCTCAGACCACACCAACACAGTATCCAAAGTCGCTCCTCTCTTTCTGGCGCCCAGCGCCCAGTTCTGGCCTCAGCGCAGCACGCAGCCTCTAACGCAGCAGCGTGACCGCATTGCCTGCGTGGCCCAGAATGCCCGCCTCTGGCTACCCTCCTTCCTACATGGAAGTGGCAGGCCCTGCTTGGCTGTGTGTGGCCTGGCTGGGAAGCTTCCAGTAGCTTCTGGTCGGGCCCCAGTACCTGCGCCCAGGCCCACCCGGGGTATGTACGTCGACAGTGCTGCTTTTCCGTAGGCCTGTGGCCACTTCGTGATGTATCGGCCCTGCATTGTGAGTATGTGCCCAGGCGCAACGGCCAAGGCCTGGGCCAAACTGTACGACGCAGCTTAGGAAGGTTCACACGTCCACTCAACCAACTGGCAGGCTGCAACAGCCTGAGTACCCACATATGCAAAAATGTTGAATTTTGGCCTTCAGTGAATATTCAGGCCCAGGGCGGGCACTTGGCTTGCTGGGGGCCTCTGCCCAGAACATGTGCATGCTTGACAAGGGCCCCGCGAGGGCTCGTTCCTCGCGTTCCATCCCCCTTAGCTTCGAAAGTCCGCTGAGATGCTTCATGCTGGTGCCTTCCCCTTCAATTTTCTTTCATACTCGCCCACGATCTGAGGAGCTGTCTTGACAAGTTCCTCTCTTGTAAACCATCGATCTTCCTTGGGATCAATATGATGCCTGAACGGTACTCTGTACTCTGTCACAGGTTTAGGCGGTCTACCCCTGCCAGCTGGCTTGAGAACAGGCATGTCTCTGTGCTCCAGGATATCCTTGACGTCCACATGACCATCCATGGTTGGGGGCAGCATACATCTCCTTGATGGGAACGGTTCTGTCTCAGCGAAAGGTGCAAGCTCTTAGGCATGAGACATAGGGTAAGTGTGTAGGTGCCCAGGGAGACGAATCACATACGAGGGACCATCCAAATCACTATCCACAATATCTAAGACTTCCCAGGGACCGAAATACTGAGGCATTAGTTTTCTAGACATGCCAAACTCCTGTCCCAACTCACTAGCCTTGACCCAGACACGTTCCCCTACCTGAAATGTGGAATGTCGGTGATGCTTGTTCTCAGAAACAATCATTGCTTCCTAAGATTTCTTGATGTGCTCGACAGTCTGCTGCAACAACTTCTCATACTGAACACCAAATTCAATGGTTCTAGGAGGTGCAGCAGTTCAATTTTCAGGCAGGAGGAAGTCTAGAGCAGATCTAGGCTTCCACCCCAGATGTAGCTGATTAGGACTGACGCCAGTGGTGCTATGTACAGCATTATTGTACAGGCTGGTGATGAGAGGTAGTTCCTCATCCCGATCATCCTGGCTGGGCTTGATATAGTGCCTCGGCAGACTGCACCACACAGTTCATCTGTTCAGCCTGCCCATTGGCTTCAGGATGATTCCCAGAAGTCATTTGGAGCTGGCTGCCCATCTGTTCAGCGTCCGTTTTCCACATCTCGCTGGTGAACCGGACATCTCTATCACTAACAATCGTCTTTGGAAGACCAAAGTCACGCACCCAGTTATCCATAAATAACTTGATGACGTGCTTAGTCCTGGCAGTCTCAGGCATGGCGATTAGTCTAGTGTACTTAGTGAACCTATCAACTATAATGAAGATATGCCTGTTGCCACTCTTGCTGGTCACGAGGGTATCCATGAAGTCCATGGAAACACTCTGTCTCGGACCGGCAGGAATGGGTAAAGGCTTTAATAACGCAAGCGGGGCTTGAGTTCGCGGCTTATACCGCTGACAGACTTGGCAAGTCTGAACGTAGGTCTTTGCATCGTCAAGCATGTTAGGCCACCAGAATCGCTGTACCAAGTTAGCACTAGTCTTCTTGTAGCCGAAGTGTCCTGTTGCATCATGGCATTCACCTAAAAATAAACTACGCAAAATCTCTCTAGAGGGCACAACTAGTCTCTTGAACCCTGCCCTCTCAAGAAAGAGCAACCCATCCACCATCACAAACTTGTCAGTTACATAGTGCCTCCAGTGGACAAGTGCCTTGTAGAGGGCGTAGAGTTCCCTTTCATAGGTGGACTTCGCCAATTTCTTGGATGGCATCTTGTTACTCATGTACTCGATCGGCCTTAACTTTTTCCCTTCCTGTTGAGGCAACACTGCGCCAATGCCATATTGGCTTGCCTCAGTGGTTACTAAAAATGGCCTTCGAGGATCGGGAACCATGAGAACCTGATGTGTAAGGGCATGCTTCAATCTTTTGAAAGCAGCCTAACATGCGTCTGTCCATTCCCATGGAGTGTCAAGGCGCATTAGATCAATCAAGGGAGATGCGATCTTACTATAGTTTAGTACAAAATTGCGGCAATAACCACACATCCCCAAAAAAGATCTGACATCAATCACAGACTGGGGTCGTGGCCAGTCTCTAATGCTAGCCACCTTCGCATCTTCCAGCCTAATCCCTTCCGCGAATACTTCATGACCGAGGACTACAAGATTTTAGTACGACCAAACTTGTGCGAGATTTCAGTACAAACTCGCATTTCTCTAAATTTATCTTATACTTGTGTTGCCGGAGGAGAGAAAGGATTTTGTCTACTTATCCTTGTGCTGCAATGTTGAGCATCCTCCTCGATAGTCCTACTGACGATAAGAATATCGTTTAGGTACACAACGATGAACTTATCCAAGTAGTCATGAAAGATTTTGTTCATGGAATGCTGAAATGTACCCAACGCATTGCAAAGGCCGAAAGGCATCACCACAAACTTGTACAAAACGTACCTGGTCCGAAATGCGATTTTGTGCTGGTCTTCTGGTCTAATGGCAATTTGATGGTAGCCGACTTCAAGTCCATCTTGGTAAAGTAGGTAAAGTACTTACATCCCTGCACCCTATCCAGTACGTCATCGATGCGCGGTAGGGGCTCTGCGTTTTTAACGGTGATGGCATTGAGGCCCCTATAATCAATGCACATCCTCAGTGATCCCCCCTTCTTCGGTACGAATAGAACTAGTGAGCCGAAGGGGGAGATGCTAGGCCGTATCCAACCCTTTTCTGTGATCTCTTTCAGTTGTCGCCGAAGCTCGTCCAACTCGGTCGGAGCCATCCTATAGATTCTCCCTTTGGGTATCTTGCTCCCACAAATGATTTCTATGCCATGGACAACCTCCCTATCTACGACACATGTGTGCTCCTCAAACAGATCAGGGTAGCAACAACACTCTCTATCTCTGGGGGTGATTTAACGACCTCCCCTTTCTCAGAGATAAAGACCAGGTACATACCATCCTCTTGGTTTTTGTTTATAGTAATTGTAGAAGGCCGATGCGCACAAACACCCGTAGGAGTCAACTAACCTACTAGCGTTATATTTAGCTCGTCTAACGGTCCTCCCATTAGGCAACATATGGTTCAACACTTTCTTGTCCAAATCAAACTGGGGTTTGGCAACCTCAAGGTAGTACATACCTAACAACATGTCAAATGGTAGGTCGTCGCTAACCAGGAACGAAATCTTATGATTAAGTTCCCCTCCTGCATAGGAGAAAGTGCAGACCACACCCTTAACGTAGCCCTCCACCAACATGCGCTCTTTGTTGGCCAGATTACATGCTACCGGTCTACTAAGGCGTTGCACCCGGTCCTGTAGGCGCAATCTATCAACGCAGTCACGTCTTATAAGTTCCGTGTGGAGTCGATGTCTATGAAGGCACCGCACTTGCGACCACCTACACCAACTTCCACAATGAAGTGTTCCCCTCTAGGACCTTGACTTAGTGCCACCCAAGACTCACGAGGGTGAGAGGAGTGAGAGCACACACACACACACACTCACTCACTCGACACGACTGACTCGGACTGAGGATCGGACGCAGACACAGTGGCAAGTCACAAAGTCGAAGTCTTGGATTCCGAATGCCGAAACAGCAAGTCACACTGAGTAGGAGTACAGCAGCCGAGAACTGGTACCAGACTGGTCCCCGTACCGTACGGGGAGCCGGTATAAGTACCGRTGACACGTACGGTACTAGGGGCATTTCTGCAAAGGCCCCGAGGGCAGAACTGRAAAATGCAGTATTTGAAAGTGGCGCCCGAATTGCAGCATGGCGCCARTTGTCCAAAATCCTACGGTACCAAAGGAGGGGTTTGGAAAAAGGGTGCCAGGCCGAAAACGGGATGCAGCTGAAACAACAAAAGATAGACCAGGGATCGAGCCCTGGCGGAGTCCGTAACACTCTCCCCTCCCTCTAGAAGGCAACGTCCCGGCTGCCAAAAATCATGAAACAATGCTGAAATCTGTGAAGGACGGGACGGGGCCGATTACTGGTTAACAAGTCGAAAGGGAAGAGGGGTATAATGTGGGTGGCAAGGGCTGCGGGAGTAAGAGGGAACAGGGTTTGATACCAGTGAACAGAGTTGTCCTACTGATGAACTAAAGGGACTCATGGTTCGATATAGGTTAAGGGGGAACAGAGTTCAGGGCACAGGGAAACTTCTATTGATGTTCTACTGGGTAAGGGAAACGGTGTTCAGGAAAACAGGGTATTGCTATTGATGTTGTAGTGGGTAAGGGAAACAATGGTAAGGGGAACAGGGGATGTCTATTGATGTTCTAGTGGGTACGGGGAACAATGGTTGGGGAAATAGGGATCTGCTAATGATGTTCTACGGGGTTGTCAAAGTCAGAAAATGTTTGTTCAGGGTGCGAAGGCTGGTGTGTCCGAAGGAGTCAGAAGCAAAATCTCATGTAGGAACAAAGTGTCCAAGTGTCTTGAAAGGGGGTCTGCAGCGGACTTGATCAGGTCTTTGGAGTAGGTGGTAGAAGCGGTCTTCAGCAGCTGCGATAGGTAGAAGTCCAAGAAGCGTAGTAGTAGTTCAAGTGTCAAAGTCCAAGTGCTAGGGTGCGTCCGGTACACGAACTGCAAGGAGGTCTGATCTGATCACGAACAGCAGATGCAAAGATCCATGTCACAAGTTGCTGCTCCAGTAAGTCCGCGAGTCGGGGATGCCGGCCAATGAAACAGCATGGTGGCCAAACCAGYTGCATAATCTCCATGAACAGTGAGGCAGCAGGCCATCGTCCTCGTGCGCTTGCCATTAGAYCMTTYRTCGCCGGCGTCACGCAAGTTCACAAGCATTGGACAAGAGAGACAAGGTAGTGGAGAGGACAGATGGGACAAGGCTAGGCGAGGGCAAGGGCAGATCAGACATCAGGAATGAGGATCAAGGGAAGGGTGGACTGGGTTCAAGGGTGTGTGTAGAGCTGGGTTTTTAGCGGGGGTTTATGCCATAGTGATATAGGTATCTAGGACATAGGATTAGCACGATCATAGGCGCGGACAAGTTTCATGGCGTTCTTAAGATTAGAGAGAGGTTCCCATGTAGATTCTTCGTCGGGGTATCCGGTCCATTTGACTTTGTATTCAGTGATTGGTTCCGGATGATCAGA